AGGAAAGGTGATTAGTAAAGAACTCAGCTGAACAAAATCACACACTTCAAGTAGAGAAAGCCAAAAACCTACCTGACGTTATGCGAGTTTCTACTGCTATTAGCGACAGACTTGCCGGGAGAGACGTCAACAATATATACATTATATTTTTCAAAATACACAAAAATTTTTTATGAATTTATGGGCTTTCTATCTTTATAGAACAGTAACAAAATACTTGACCTCGGGTATGTAGTTAATGGAAAATAAACACTTTTCTTGAAGTATACTAAAGGAATCTCCAAACCATTTTTAAGAAAAAAATCATTATAACTATTCTTTTATTCCAGCTCAACATATTGATCTTCTTTAATGATTTCTTCATAAAACTTTTGAGACATAAAAGAAGTATTTGTTGGTAAAATCATTATAGAAGTTGTCAAAGTTCCATGCATAGAGGATAAAGGTTTACTTTGCAGCCATATGGGTTTTTTTGACTGTTCTGTTATGAAAAAGAAGAATCTACTTTGCCATGTGGGTTTCATTGACTGTTTTGCTATAGGAGAGAAGGATTTACTTTGCTATGCAGATTTTGTTAATGGTGATAATGACATGAGCATGGACTGTCTGTTTTTGCTTCATGAATAAATGGATGAAAAAATAATATCTATCATTTCATTTACACCTTCATTTATTAAGTTTTTGGGAATTAAGTCGAAATGACTTCTTAATTCTTAAAGTGTAGTTAAATGATTGTTAACAAGATGTGTATCGTGATTGTTCAACACTATACTAAGATCTATAAGAATAATTAAACATATAAATGGTTAAGGAATTATCAATAAAGAAATATGAAAAAAATTTGTTTACTTAGTAAAGTATTTTCATCCAAAGATGAGAAATATATTATTGGTTGAATCTGTGATAAATAGGACAGATAAAAAGGTGATTGAACTATTGGAATTACTGATGATTACACAGAGGGTTGTTGGACAAAAGCAAATAGCTATTGAACAGAATGTTAACTGGAGGACTGTTGAATGGAAGGTTGAACATAAGGCTGCTGAACGAAAGGTTGAACATAAAGCTGCTAAATGGAGGGTTGACTGGAAGGTTGTTGAATAAAATGTTGAACAAAATATTGAATAGAAGATTGATCAGATGACTATTGAATAAAAAGTTGACCAGATGGCTGTTGAATGGAAGATTAACTGGATGGCTATTGAATGGAAGGTTGACTGGATGGCTGTTGAATGGAAGATTGATTGGATGACTATTAAATAGAAGATTGACCAGATGGCTGTTGAACGGAAGATTGACCGGATGGCTATTGAACAGCAGGTTGGTTGGATGTGGCTTCTCAAAAAATTGTTGATCAGATTGTTGGGAGGATCATTGAGTGAAAGATTGCAGAGATGATTTTCTTTTTGAATTCATTTTTGAAAAATTTTTGGGAAAAACTATCTGCTTTATATTTAATTTTTGTATGATCATGACTTTATAATAAATAAATGATCACTATATTGGCATTATTTTTTTACTACTTGATTAATGAATTGTCATTATTTTGCAATGATTCTATCATAATTTAATTAAAGTTACCTTGAAATCATATTGCTACGACAATATTTTATTAATAATTATAATGATGACATCATTATTATTTTGCAACTAAAAGTTGTCACAATATAGTTACAATTTGTTCACTATTTTTTTAAAAAGAGTTGGTGACGATGTCATTATCGAAATGATGATTTAATTGCCACTAAATGGTTAAGATTTTGTTGCGACATAGTAAAAACCATTAAATCACAATTGAATCTCCATGATTCAGTTACAAAATTGTGATGATCACATAATTATATTGTTAGAATTTGATGGGTTTTAGTAAAGAAGTCACAAAATCGTGATAATCATGTGATCAGATTGTCAGAATTTGATAAGTTTTAGTAAAAAAGTCAGTTAAAATTAACAAAAATATATATATTTTTTATAATAATAGATAGACAACAAGAAAGATTTAACAAAAGTTTAATAAAGTTTTATAATCTATAATTACTTATAAGAAGACTCATTTCACATTATTGTTACTGTTATTAATTACAGCAAATCAATTATATGGAATGTCATAAAGAAGCTTAATAACTTGATATTTCTGAAATATAAAAAAAATCTATAATCTTGAATATTCTTTATTTCTTATTTTTTTAATCAATTAAATTTAAAGAAGCTAATTATTAATAAGGATAATTGTCATTTAAACCTTATACAAATTACTAATATTTTTATTAGTTAAGATCAAAAAATTTTCTAAGAGTATTATTTATTATACTTTGTATAAAATAAATTTGTATTCAAGTTCACTACTTCAAAATCATTAATTTCTTCAAAAAATAACAAAAAAAGATTGAATTGATTTCTTAAATATAAAAGCTAATATTTTCAGAAATTTAAATATATATTGTGATTAGATTAAATTATGATTCATTTTTTCCAAGGTATTTTCAGTCATATTTGATATAAATCAAACAAAAAATAAAAAATTAATTATATAAGATTTATTGTAAAGCATAATCAAGATTATATGTATTGGAATTGTTTTTCTTGATTTAATGTCAAATCTAAGGATTCTAATGATTCTCTTCGATTCTGTATTCGATTTTCAAGTTTATATTAAATTTAATAGGTGGGGTATACCCCACTATTATTTTTAATAGTGTTTCGAACCTTATGCGATTCTGTTTGATTCTATTCGATTTCAATTTTCGGAACCATAGTCAAATCTTTTGTTTTTCTAAAATCTAATATACCTGATGCATTACATGTTGAAATTCTTTAAAAGTAATTTTTCTTTATATAGAAAAACTTTTTAGAAAGAAAATAATATGATTGTCTAATCTTACAACAAGATAATGCTAAGTGCACTTTACTAAAATAGTAAAGAAATTTATTGACCAATATTGAATTTGTTTAATAAATTGGTTTTTATAAAGCTTCAATTTCAATCAATAAAAAACCTGTAGACAAGTAAAAAAGTCAGTTTATTATAAGAAAAAAAACCAAGTAGTTTTAACAATTTATTGTTTTTGCCAAGAAGTTATGAAATAAAATATTTTTAAAATATTGTTACCAATTAATAATTAACATGTCTATTCAAGTTAATGTATATATCGAGACTAAAGAAAACCTGTAAAACATTAAAATTGAAAATAAAAAAATTTTAAAAAAATATATAAATATATAAAAAAAATAAAAATTGACTTTATTTTATCAAAAATAAAATTAATAAAGTTTTTTGTATAATTTTTAAATTAATAAATTAAATTATATAAAATTTTAATGTTATATTCTTGAAACTTACTAAATATATGATAAAAAATTTGAATTGGGTTTAATTATCTAATGTTATATAATTGAAGATTCAAAGTATTTATGATTCATTGATAAGTTACTATATGTAAATTCACTAAGATGAATCAATCTATATGCTAGGTAAGATTATATATAGAAGAGCAAATTAATTTAAATGAAGTTTGTAATCATAAAAATTGATATTATCGATAATATAGCATGTGTTATTAGCACACTTTATTTGAAAAAAAATTTTTACTTTCAAAAAAAATTATTGATAAACTTAATGCTGGTCTTAATAAAATTAATAATTCTAAAACCATTTGAAAATATTTTTATAATTTTAATTTAAAAATTATATTATATGAAAAAAAATTCTTTTATTTAAAAAACAATGAGTTTTGCAATTAAAATATCATTAAAACAAATGCAATTGAAAAAAAGAATAAAAACCGATTGTAAGTTTAATTTAATTTATTTAAATTAATAGGTGAATAAAGTGTGAAGAAAAATAGACAAAGCTTTTAATGAAAATTATATTAGATCCATAATTAAATTTAATAAAAAATATGTTATATTTTGGAATTGTTTTAGTTATTATAAAATCAAACCATTAATAATAATCAAATAAATATAAAATTTAACATATACATTAAATAATTTGATATGTACTTTTATAATAATTCAAATACAATATTTCTGCATATTTTTGATTTGTTACATATTGTCTTATACTACTTGATAAATAGCAACACGTGATATTCCAATTTTAGATTAAATTTCACAAAATCTAGATTTAAATCTAATTGAACATTTGTAGGACCATCTTGATTATCAAATTTGGAAAAGAAAATCCTTACTCAAATCAAAACAAGATTTAATTTGGGTTGTGCAAGAAGATTAAACAAATATTATTATAAATAATTCACATGATTTGATTTTAAGTATGTCTTGATGTCATTATCAAAGCTAGAGGTAGACATACCAAATATTAGAATTTTTTTTAAAATGCCATTATTTAAAACCGTCATTTTATTTATTGATGATTGATTTCCGGTAATTTAAGTGAGGTGTGTATATTTTTACACAGTTTCTTTTATCGAGAGTTGACCGTATTACTATAGTAATTTTACATCCAATTTTGAAATTCCGAATTTAGTAAAATTACTGAATCCCGTTACAGTATCTTTATTTATGTTTATGATTATCAATTACTATAATGTAACCAATTTTAGAGAATTGCGTGACGGAAAGGTTGACCTGTAATAAGATTTAACCCGTTATTCTGCAAGAGTTTTTACTGTAATTTAACTTTTAATTTTTAATTTAACTTATTTATTTATTTATTTATAAACTAAAAAACTGAAACTTATGTTGTGTACGAAGCTCAACATTAACATTAACATGCAAAGAATTTTATGGTCTTACGCTTCGCTTCGGACTAATAATGAGTATCTTCCGCGGTAAACGCAGGGTGTAACCTTCAGGTGATAGAATTAGTTATTTTTATGTTACGCCGAACTTCGGATAATCTAACTTTTGGGTTGAGTGTAAGTATTACGCCATCGGCGTTCAGTTCTTTTTGACGGTCTGAGTTTAAGTTTGTTTATCTCCTTGACCTTCAAGGCATAGTTGACTCATTAGAAAACCCGAAGACTAAAAAACAAACTATGAAGCCAAACTACCCTTCTAATCTTGCCAGTAAAAGAACACGATTTTTTTTTCTTTTGATTTTGGCTTTTATTTCTCAGATTAAGGCTGGTTCTCTGTTTCAAATGTGTTTGGGAAATGTGTATAATCGCTATGACAAGTTCTTGGCTTTTGCTAATAACACAGTCGACAAAGAATTAATGTGTTGTACTGCCTGTTCATTAGAATGTGTTGCTGCTCACGTGTGCCCCCCTGCATCTTACGGTTGCGGTGTCTTTGACTATGGATTTTTTCAGGCCGAATGTAACAGAATAGGGAAAGGAACCTTTTGCATTACCACTGGTTACAGCAACGGTCCAACTGTTGTGCCGGGTTCGATATGTGGAGGAATTTTGGGCAACACATTGCCAGTAAATGCCCTGCTTGGATCGTGTCCTGATTTAGATGCAGTAAGGAAAACAATAAACGGACCAAAAACTTCGCAAAATTTTACTTGGATGTGTTGTGGCAGTGATAGTTGCTCAGTTCCTAGCAACGTTTTAGTTAATGTCGATAAAAAAGTTGCTAGTACTAATTGTGCTTATGGTCAATATAGCATGATGTGTTTTTATGATAATGGAGGTTGGAGTTGCACCGGAAGCGTTTCGACTAATATTGATGACATTACGATACCTATGGGAGATTGCGTAATGCAAATAGCTAGTCCTGACATTGAAACTATTTCTTCTAGTGCTACTTCACCAGTAGCAGCAACCGCCACCTCTATTAGTTTGGTTAAGAAAGCTACAATTACCGGCATTGGTAATAACAATCCTACTTCAACAAATTCAAAAAGTTCGAGTGATAGAGCCAATACCATTGCCATTGTTTTTGGAATAATTAGTTCTACTTTAACTATTCTTGGTTTATACCTAGTGTAATAGAGAATTGCATCGTTACATGATATATGCAATGATCTCAAATCTTAAACATACAAGAAATCTGCACTACAGTTAGGATAATTTTATATATATTATATATATTTGAGATAGTTGGAATAGTTTAGATAGTAAAGATATATAATATAATTTACTACGAAACTAGCATGTTTTTTAGGTGAGCTAAATCTCAAATAAATCTTTAACTTTTACAATTGGAACCTTGGAATATTTTGCGTAGTTTTTACAGTAAGTAAATGTGAATGTTAATTATGTATTATGAATTTATTTTAAAGTATTTTTGTGGGATACTTGAATCAAATTATAATAGTTCGATATTAAATTTTTTGTGGTTTATTGAAAGTGTTATAGTTTCTCGCATTAGTTTACAGATAGAATATACCATGTAAACAAAATAAAACCTGACATCTACAACTACTAAATGAAATTATACAGTTATGATTTGATCTAGAAAATGTTTAATCGCAAATATTTTTAATATTTATAAGTAAAAGTAGCTATAATACTAATAATAGATATGTTAAAACTGATTAAAAGATGTAAGATAAAATTGGCCACTAATAAAGTCATGATATTAAGCAAAAATATCTAATATTTATCTGATATTTTATTTCAAAAGTATCAATTCTAAAAGATTTAATATTTTGAATTAAAGGATTTATTTTAGAAAATATTTTTATGAATGTCTTTTTAATATATAAATTCTAAGCAAGAACCTTGAAAAAGGAAGTTAATAGTGATAAAATTAGTATTAGCAATAGTATTTATTAAAAAGAATATTTGTAATAAGATAAATTTATAAATTTTGATTAAAACAACATTATTTTTATACACATATAAATAGTTATATTAATCAATATACAAACAACTTTAAAAAGAAAATATAATAAAGTAAAAAAATAACAATAATTTGTTAATATAAAATTTTTAGTCATTAATACTCTTATGTATACAAATAAATTGTATTTATTTTTATAATTTTTTTGAAGTTTTTTTTAATATTAATGAATTCTTTTTAATAGAAGACATGATATGTTTCTTGTTTATAAAAATACTGAAAAGGTATTATTCTTGTACTGAAGTTTGTCAAAAATTGCTTTAAAAAAGCAAGATAATATTTAAATAATTTAAAATCTCCTTAATTACTTTAAAAATATTATTGATTTATTAAAAGTTAGTAGTAGTTTTTGACAAGTTGTTTAGTATTTTCTTTGTAAATTTCATATAGTTTAATATTTCTAATTTGTTAAAGTTTTTTTGAATTTAATTGTTGAAGAATAATAATCAGGATATTGTTTAATTAGAAAAATTAATAAAATACAGTGGTAATCACAAGAAATAACAATTACTAAAATCACTCTAGCTCCTCAACCGCCACCTTAAAATTTTTATGTAATATACTATTTAAAACTAAATACCACTATATATTTTTTTAAAATAATCAATATGATATTCTTTTGTTATTTTTTTTAATAATCTCCATACAACTTCATTGCATTGAATTTATATAATTAATTATAAAATTATCTGGAATTTTGTCCCACTCTTCACACATAAAACTTTCCAATTTACTGATATTTTTAGATCTATACTTTTCTATTCTTGTCTTAACTATTGCCCATATGTTTTTAATCGGATTTAAATCTGGACTATTGTCTAAAACTTCCAGAACATCATTTTTAAGAAACACTTGAGAAATAAGACTAGTGTGTTTGGGGTCATTATCCTACTGCAACTACCACTTACCCTTTAACATATACTTCATTTCTGAAATATGCTTTTCTAATATTTTTGTGTAGAATTCTCTATTTATAATTTGCCAAAAACAATAAAGACTCATCTTATCTTTAATACAAAAACTCACTATGCAAATATTTTGGTTTTATTCTTAAAATAGACACTTGAAGGAACAAAGATAATACTTGACCTTTATTGTGTACTTAAATGACAAAATTTTGATCAAATTTGACAAAGTTATGTCAATTCAAACATCTTGTTGGATGATTGTCATTTCTTGTGATCATCATTATATATATTGTATATTGAATTATTGGACTGAAGAAAAGATTTGAAAAGAAAATTTAAAAAGTTTATTAAAATTAATAACATTATCAATTATTATAATATTTGATTAATTAATAAGATAAATGAAGTTAATTTTTATATTAAAATTGAAAAGTATTATAGATTAATATGATTGATTATTATTTTATAATTGATTTATTGATATATTATAGAATATTTATTTTATTGATATTATTAGATTGAATAGTTATTAATATAATGAACTGATATTAAAATGATACTGACTTATAATAATTTTAATATATAGATTTTAATTCACTATATTAAATTTATAATAAATTTAATATCAATTGATATTGAAATAATATTATTATAAATTTTAATAAATTGATAAAGAGTTGTATAAATTATTATTTTCTATTAGTATTACTTTTTTAAATTATAAGAAAATTGATTAATAATTAATTGTTTTTAGAAGAAAGCTATAAAGTATTTTTTGTTTTTTTTTCAAAAAAAAAAGGAAATTTTTGCAAGTATTTGAAAACATATTGGTCAAGTTGAACTTTTTATATTTCATTGATTATATTACTAACAAAAGCAAAGTTAATGTGTTTTATTTTTGAATAATAGTTATAATTATTTAAATTTTATTTTTTTATTGGGGTTTTTTTAAAATTTATAATATTATAATATAGACATTTTTAATAATATTAATGTTAATATTTTTTTCATCTTTGATAATTAAGAATTTTTCTAGAATAATTAGTAAGACTGAAATAAAAATGGATTTGTGGAAATTTGTTTTTCGAGTTGTATTTGTTATTTGGTTAAAAAAATAAGTTTGAAATTTTCTGTTTCTAATTTATTTCTGTAAATAATTATATAGTAAAATTGTTTAGTGTTTGTTAAAAATGTTGAAAAATTTATGATAGAAAAAATGAACATAAAGTGTATATTTAAAGATATTTTAAAAAAAATATTTGTTTTAAAAATTGTTATTATAAAAGAAAATTTTTAAGCAAAAAAATATTTATAGAAAAAGGTTTTTTTTAAAAAATATATTTAAAATAAAAGATATAACATATAATTATTATTTTTAATTAATTAAAACAAATTTAAATCTTTACTTATTTATCAAAAGATATTTTATATAAAAAACTGAATTAAGATTAATTTATAATTATATTAAAAAAACTATTTTAATTTTTTATTAAATATTTTAATACAAAAAAAAAAAAAGCTTGTTTCTATTTGCAAAATTTTTTTTTGTTACATGAAATTGTAATGATTTGAAAAAACCGAATTGATTTTATAAAAAATTGAAATACTGTATATTTGAAGTAAAGAATACATATGTATTATCGATTTAATTTATATTTGCATTAATAATTTTTAAAATGGTTTTTATTTTTTATTTTTTTATTTAATAATTACAATATATGAGATATTACGAGAAATTACACGAACAAATAATTGAACCGAAATTCCTAAAATTTAAATAATATCCTATATTATCTACGGTTTAATATAAATTTATAAAATTCAATGATTTTTGTCATCTATAATAGCAATTATACATTAATATTGATGATAGTGATTGTACATGTGTTTTTAATTTGCATAAGTCGTAATAAAAAAAGAATAATAATTGTATTATTTTAATAATTTCCTGTTTATTTTATATTACGGTATTTTAAAATATTAAGTTGAACTTGTTGTTTAACCCATTACGATGTATATGATGTTTGTGACTGGACCTGAAAAAAGTTTATCATTATTTTAACAGTATTACTGTATTGAATTGCTTGAAATTATATGTGTATCATTAAAAATATTTTTTATGTAGTAAAGAAATACAATTTTTTATTTTTATTTACCATAAAGTACTTTTGATATTAAAAAAAATCAATTTTTTGATATTTTATAATTTTGACAAGTCAAAAACAATCTCATGTCGTGTTATAAAAAGATTCGGAGTTAATTCATAGAAAATTGCAATTTCTCATCGATTTCTAAGATAAAAGTTTTTCCATTTTAACGTAATATGATGATCTGATCTATTTATTTATTTGATCATAGAGCATATTATGGTATCTTATATTGATATCATAGTTTTCATCTTCGTATCAAGAGTTAGAAATGAGCGATAATAAAAATTTGCGATATATTACAGAATGTGGGAGCGAGAACAGGGATCCCTTTGGTAAAAATGAAGTACTATAAATGATTTACCACGATGATTTGTGTGAACGATGGTTTTAATTAATCGCGGTCATTATGCTTTCGCATGCGTACTGTATACAGCCAATATAAGCCTGGGAGGATCAGATGATCTCGATACCGCAACACCCACTTCAGCTTTCAACATTCATAGTGAAAAGGAAAGGTCATCAGTTGACTCGAAATCAGAAAATGATACTATAATATTATCTTCATTTCAAATTTCTAGCGAAAATAGATTACAAGAAAAATCACCCGAAGAAAGTAATAATAAGCCTATCATCATCACGCAAGCAAGCATTAAAATAAACGATGTTGATCAAACAGAAAATGTTGACATGCCCGATGTTCAAATGAAGAACATTGATATGCACGATATTATTCAAATTTCGGAAGACAATGAAATTAAAGAGTTTGCAACTTTCACAGGAACTGCAGGCATTTGTAATTCCGAACGATTAGAAAGCGAGAACACATTAATTCAGAGCAAAACTGTGGATATTAAATTATCTTATTTGACAGAAGCATTGAAAAAGTGTGAAGAGGTTAAATCAAAAACAAAGGAGCTTCTACAAAGGGCGTCAGAAAAAGATGATCCTACGGTATGTATCTTAACAGAGGTTTCTGCTGAGATCACATCTAACAATTACTCCTAATTCTAGGTGAAACTCGATTTAGTGACTAAAGCACAAATAAATAAAATGTTTGTTGACTTGAGATGTGCAAATAGAAAAGCAAATATGAGAATAAAGGAAAATAGAGCCTTTAGGATGGAGGCCAGAGACGTTTTTGATGATGCCTGGTACAAGTTGTTGGAAGTCAAGTACAAAAAGTTTTTGTTAGATTACGATTTGAAGGTCATAAAATTTAAGGAGTAATAATAAGTCTATTTTGTTATTATCATTATTTTTTGTTCTCTCTCTTTTTTTTTAAGCTTTACACTTCCTAAAAATCTAATTTTCCAGATCGATTCATCATAAAATCTCGCTAATTCCGGTTGAAGAGTTTTTTAGTACTGCATCAAACGAATTCACAGATCCATTATTTAAGTACCAAAATATTACAAGTCCAGAACAGCAGCAATACGAGCATGACCTTTTCTTACAGCGGTTGAAGTATGAGAAGTGTGAGAGAGAAATGTAAGTATTTGACTACTATCCTATATATTCTGGAACAAATTATTTGAATAATTTGATATTAGGCTCGAAGATGAAAAGATACGAAAGTTGGGCCGTAAATGTGATCTTGAATGTACTATCAAAGAAAAATTAGATTTGGCCTGCCGGTTGGATCATAGTTTAAAAGAATGCATCAGGGTATTTCTTATTTATAAAGACTCGCGATTATGAATTATAATTTATCGTTCATTTATTAATGTTCAATATTTTAATACCTATCGTAAAAAGAAAACAAATCTATGTAGATCTTTGAGGGAGGCGCAGAAAAGTTTGTCATCTTCGTTTTCACTTTCCTTGATTAATAACAATGATAATAACGGTATGAACGTGGATTATAAGAGTTCTTTCGATAAGAAAACTCATGATTTAGGAAATTGCACAAATTCAGATAAAGAAGAAGGAGAATTGATTCAATAGCGATTGATTTTCATATGAACAAAATATAAAGTTTTTGGAAAATATCGATACGTTTATAAGTGATTTATTATTTCTAATCGACTCATAGAATTCTTTAAAAAACAGTTGTTCATTACAATTGACACGTTTTCGTTCAAAAAATTTCCTTCTGTGCCTGTTATATGAATACGATGACGTTTCAAAATTTTTATTACATGAGAATTTCAAAAAATTCGAGGCTTTCTGTTTCAGTATAAATGATCAAATTATGTAAAGTGGTTGTAATTACTATAATATGTTGTCTTTTCTCAATACAGTACAGTACGTACATGTATCTTGAACTTTTACCATCATATCCGAAATTGTTAACCGAGCTTTCTTTAAAATGTAAATCACAACAGATTCCTTCATCGAGTCATCACAGATCAATCTAATTAAAAACAAATACGAGATTTAGGCAAACAGAACATTACTTCATCGCCGTGGCCTACTGTATTAGGTGATCCACTGTGTTACAGTAATACAATATTGTATACAGTACAGAAGTACGTCTCTACTCGCTGTAAGTAGTTAATTATGGATTATTTTTTATTCCTGATAAGACTTTTTTACATTCTAATTATTTCGATCGGATTTTCCGGTTTGATCTTTGAATCGATACATGTTACAATATTTCCTTACGGAAAATTAAATGCTTCTAACAAATTTAACGCTAGAAATCCCTTGGAAAAGTTTATAAGGAATTTAAGCGTTCCGAAATATTGGTTCTATCAATTTTATATAGTTGGAACGATTTGGGTTACATTAATTATTATAGACGTCGTTGTTTTTCGTAGCGGATATCTCTCTTGGTTCGTTGGATTGATTGAAGGAGCTCGTGACAGCAAGGACACAATTTATTCTGATTCATATACTAAGCAACCTGCAGAACAATGTATCGTTGGTCTATTCATGCTATTATTCCAAACGGTGCGACGAGCGTACGAATGTCTTTTCATAGATAGACCTTCTCTTAAAGCGAGAATGCATATTGGGCATTACGTCCTTGGTTTGGCATTTTACATTGTAACGAGTCTTGCCATTTTCGTTGAAGGTTTTGGGAACCTCGATGTGTATGGAGGAGGTTTGTTGCTTTTTCTCAATGAAAGTTTTATCAAAATCATTTTATAGAAATTTGTTACTTTTTTAAACTACAGACAAACTTTCTCCCAGTTTTCCACCAATCTCAAACTTCCTCACCTGGAACTTTTTTATTGCGATATCACTATTCCTCTATGCATCATATCATCAACATGTGGTTCACAAAATTCTTGCTTCCCTTCGTCCAAAATATTATAACGTCTCTTCTCAATCTAGGCCGATTTATGTCATTCCTAAGGGGGACTGGTTCGATTACATATCTTCGGCCCATTATTTTGCGGAGATCTTAATTTACATTAGTTTTGTGGTGCTCAACAAAGGCCAAATATTCACAAGCTACCTCGTGGTTGCTTGGGTTGCATTCTGTCTAGGGATCGTGGCTAGAGATTCCGATTCATGGGGTAAAGAGAGATTCGGTGAGAAGTGGCCTTCGAATAGATGGAAAATTTTTCCCGGCGTTTATTAAAATAATATCTAGATGCACCATTTTTTAAAAAAAATTTGCCTGCGAGCTATAATCAAGCAATAGACTGTCAAATTTTGAGAACGGTTATGGATTTGGTTGTTAAAATAAAAAAAGGTTAACTTTTTACGATATACCGACCAGTAATAGAAAATAATTGTTAGATTATTTCATATTAATAAATATTAAATATTAACGACAATAAAGTCATTCGAAAAAAAATCATTTGCATTTCTTGACAATTTCATTTGTTTAAATATCTTGATCAAGTGTAAATTCATATGATAAAATAAAAAAATTTAATAAATTATTTAATAAAAAAATCATCAATTAATTAGTTATTTCATATTGGGAATTTTTTTTTTTTTGTTAATTAAAATAATTTATTGTAAATTATTATTATTATTATTATTTAGCTTATATTAATATAAAAAACTGATATATTGTTTTGCACAAACATTATATTATTAAGAGATAAAACCATAATCAAAAATGTGAATAAAAGTAAATAAGAAAAAGATATTAGGTAAATCAAATATAAATAATATACTAAATACCAGAAAATAATATATTAAATACCAGAAAATAATATAGAAAAGTATAAAAATACCATGTATATAGTGAAAATATAAGAAAAAAATCAATAAGTAATTGACTAGAAACTTAATTAATAAAGAAAGTTTAATTAACAACTAGTTATTTTCAGTAAATCTTTTTAAGTGTCACATAAGAAATATTATATAGAATAAATACAAAATTATCAAATAAATCTATATCTTTCTAATAACTTTGTCAAATTCACATGTCTTTTTTAAAAGCAAAACATATTATATTATTACATGATATAAATCAAATTGAAGTAATTAGCTCACTGTGTTTTACTATAACAATATGATATAAAAAATTTTTAAATACAAGAATTAGTATCATATTTATTAAAAATATTATTTATTTATTTAAGTACATAAAATTAAAAAATTATTTAAAATTATATAAAATTATATTTTAAAATAAAAATAATTTATTTTATATCTTAATTTATAAATTATTAGAATTAAAAAATATTAGAAATATATTTTATATTGTTTAATTAGTAATAAATAATCTTATTATTAAAATTAAAATTAAAATTACTTTATTAAAAAATAAAAAAATACTTTTTCTATTAAATTACTGTTATAATTCTCAATTATATAAAAAAAAACAAATAATTTATAAATATATAAATTAATATACATATATTTATATAAGAGTTAATATTTTAAATATAATAAAATAAAAAATAAAAATATAGTTTTGCAAAAAAACTCTCTTCTAATCACATCTGTTTTGTTAAAAATTTTCTTTTTATGGTAATTTTAAGCAAAAAAAAATGTTTTACACTCTTTATCGCAAGTGAGCCTCAGCTCAAGAACTCAAGAACCTTCAAAACAACTAGTGCAATGGGATGAGATCTCTGGTTGAAGTCTACACAAGTTTGGAAGTCTTGCTTATTCTTTGGTTACATGAGGAAAAACCTGTGACAGTTCTCTTGCACTCCTCCATATCCTTATTTTATCATAAAAACTAGCTTTATTATTATCATCATACTTGCTAAACAAACATTTTTCAAAACACACACTTAAACAAAGTTAGTGAATCTACTGTTTGTTTCAAGTCAACTCTTATACACAAGTTTTTCACAATAATATTTGCTGCACTATCTTAAAAGTTCAAAAAATTTTCAAACAAAAACCAAAATCAGTTTACCCCTTCAGATAATCAACGCTCTTCAATTATCCAATCAAATTTCATCTAAAATTAAAACAAAAACCAAACCTGTTTAAATTGGTTTTGTATTACAATAACAACAATTACAATAACAATATTAATCACACTACTATTGACAACTACAATAATAAATAATGTCATATATATTCTATTATTTATGATAACCAAAGAGCCAGAGAGATGAGACCACAAGCCTGTTTGGAAGCTCTCTTGAGAAAATAATTGATTTTCTACTTATAGATTTTATAGTTTACTTCACTTAGTTTTAGTTTTAGTTATGTTTATTTTTTTTTTCTTTAATTACTTTACATACAAACTTATAAAAAAACTTCACAAAATTTTTTGAGTAGGTAGTGTTACTGCCTTGGGAGAGCAAAATGAAGATTGTGCCAATTTAGACTCACAATGAACAGGGTGTTCCTATGAAATAAAAGAAAATAGAAACAGAATAAAGAAAAATAAAAGAAAATATTTAAAGAAATATTAAAGAAAATCAAATGAAAATAAAATTTACAATCAAATATATTGAAACTTTCAGTTCTTCCCTTGACAAACTTCAAAATTACTGATAAAAATAATTTTC